CTTCTCGAAATATATTTTGATACCGTTGTGAAAGCTTGAGACGGGGCCTATGTTCACTTCTGGTATCTGGTCGTGTACCCCAAGGGAAACGCTCTTTTTTGCTTTGACGACTCCATGTGTCGCCCATCTGCCATACTTCGGGTTGACTACGAAAGCAACATCATTTTTGGATTGGTTCCTGATCATCCAATCTTTTCCGTCGTCTGACACCTTGACATCCCTATAATCGTAAGAAGGACCAACGCTACAGGAAAGTCGTGGGTGAGTAAATACGCTATTGCAAGATGTGTAAAAATTCAAACAGCCCTTACACAAATCCGTACTCTGACATTCGCTCATGCATAGCAGACACTGGGGATGCCTCAGGTATTACTGCTGGGGTTACGATCATGGATATGATCGCGATAACAAGAGGAAAAGTCAACAGTGTTCGCATGATGATTTTGAATTATTTTGAATTTATTTTTGTATGAAAGTGATAGAGAGCGCGAGCAGATTATAAAATGCCACTTAAGAGGACTATTCGGAGTACTCGTCACCAAACTCGTGGTAGGCGCAGCGCAGCTAGGGTAATTTTTCAAGTGACCCGTTTTTATAGACAGCAGGTGTTAAGGAAAAGGCTTGTTCGAATACCCCAGCATCCGGGATACTCGGACTCGGAGGCTATACAGTTTCTGAAGTTCCAGTTAGATTGTAGACGCCAATTCTTCAAAAGATAGGCAGTTTGAGACTTCGATTACGTGGTGTCGCCATTAGTTGGGATCTTTCCTAAAACGTGTTGAAGCGCAGTGGGTCAACTACTACCCATGCCTTGAGCCCATGTGCTCGGGTGAACCTCCACCATAGCGCTCAAATGTGCCAACCGGAATTCTCGTCACGGCTCGGTTTTTTTAATCAGATGTTTTGATTGCTCTTTTTATCGGCCTACTCCGAGATTGTTTCTTCCTGAGACATTCCTGTCGTCGTCAAAAGAGGTCAAAGCTTCTAAGATCCTATCAAAACATTCCCAGCTAGCTCCAAACAAGAGCGAAGCTAGCCAAGAAATAAAGAAAGTAAGTCAAGACTGAAGAATATCACCTAGTAACTAATGTCACAGGTACATAAGAGAAGAAACCAATTGAACTTATATGCAAAAATACCTGTGTCATGAACAAACACAAAATCATGAAAAACTGAGTGGCTCAGTTTCTCTTAGAAAAGAAGAATGTTATTCCTTCCTTCTTCCTTCTCTGTTTCAAGCTGTGAGCTATTTAATCTGGATTGAAGACCCCTCCGATAGTATGTGGATGCTATTTGTGTTTGGTTGGGTTGAAATTGAATTACCTCAAACCAGGGATGTTACCCGGCTAATGGAACTACATCTCTGATTAACTGAACTTGGGTGTCACTATCAGACTAACATTTCATCTTTGCTTTTAGCTCATGTATACAATGGAGGACCTCCTGCCACAATAGAGATCGTTTGTTCGGACCTGTTGGGGGGTACCTGCCACACTTCAAAACACTCCCTCCACACCCTCAGACACCACTGATGCTTCCAGAGGGTTCAGTATTGATGAAGGTTTAGTACTGGGCCCCCCACTGGTATTTATGGTGGCTGTTGATGTGGAGGACTTGATCTGAAGTGTGGCAGGTACCCCCCAACAGGTCCGAACGAACGATCTCTATGCCACAATCTGTGGGTCCCCCAGTTTTGATTTGAGTCCTCACAAGCTAGATTTTCCTGCAAAAAAACTAGACTTTCTGGGTCTAGATCAAAAACTGCAAGGGCCCCCCATCAACACTGTAACAGATACAATACACTGTGTGTATCATGGAGAATTCTGCAAAGCTGCATGGCCAAAAACCAAATTTGTTGAATCTCCTTGCAAATAAAAGCAGATTGGTCAGATAGTTTTTTTTATTGGGGCTCAGATACATAGTGATACATTGCAGATACATGGCAGATACCGTATCTGTTTCAGCATTGCCCCCATCTGCCAGGAAGTCCACCAATATCTTTCCTGTCTCTGGTCAAAACTCTTACTGCCCAAAATGATTTCTCAGTTGGACATGGCTGTCCGGCAAGAGGTTGGACTTGCCTGTGTCAGTAGATGGTACCACCTGCCAACTGCTTGAACAGGCCCGTCCAACCTCTCATTGGAAGGACATGTCCAAGAAACTCTGGGAAAGGCCAGTCCAAGAACTTGTTGGACTGACAGGTGTGATCAATTGATTTTTGCAATGTCTACCTCAGTTTTTTTTTAAAATATTTAACTGTCTTGGGAATAATTCAATGATAATTTCCCACAATTTTAATGGAAGGTTTGACCAGTTACTTGGAACTTGCAAGTCAACATCAAGGATGTCCCATTGATTTCTTACAGAACAAGAGCAGGATTATGCAAATCAATTGGCATATTTTGTGGGATTTGGTTTAATTAGATGTTCAGATGAGGGCTTGTGCACATATTTTTTTGCCATGAAAACTTGCCAGCAACTTGAACTAGAAAAAGAAGAACTTTTCATCATTTCAAGCAACTAAGAGATTGATTTAAAATCAGAAACTATTTGTCAAAAGATTGTTATATACAAAGTAAGATATACGTAGATGAAATCATGAAATGTACCTAGAGCAGCTGAAGAACCAATTATTGTGCTACTTTATCTGATTGGGTGTACCAATACATTACAGTCAATGATGAAGAAGTGAGAAGAAGAAACAGTTTTGGTTGAAGAGAGAAATGGAAGAGTTGGTAGGACTATCAAGGGGATGAGAAGTGAGAAATATTAGAGCTGTTGAATCATAGATTAAAAATGGTTTAGCTGATTTCACTCAATCTTCATAACAATGCAAGAGGTTCTCATTCACTTTATCTCTGGCTGCAGGGCAGCTCTCGTGAACCCTGCGGTCTGAGATGGATGCACATGGTTTGGAAGAGGGTCTGTTGAAACAAACCCAGTCAATCATCAGTCATCTGTGCTGCTATAACCTTCACCGGGCTGACTAATAACTTACTTGTTGGTATTTATCCTAGCAATTGGTTCTGGTCTTGATGAGGAGTTTATACCTTGAGCAATGGTATGTGCAATTGAGTTGGGAAAGATGCAGATGGTTAGCTCAACTTCTGAAGGAGGAAAGAGGATCCTCAAGTACTCACCAGAATGGCCATTGTGACTTAAACCATCTGTTCTAGAGATTGTTTGTTTGTACTCGGGTACCTGTTGAATTTTTTCAAAAAATAGGTACCAAGTAACGCACCAGGCACCTCCCGGCGGGTACTGGCGATACTTTCAGCGGGTACTGCGGGTACCTCCCCTCTCTTTCTAACCTAGGTTCACTTTCAGATTACCAAGTCACTTTTTTATTATTATTTTTTTCATATTTATTGTAAAATATCAGTCCCAAGTCACTTTTTTTCCATTCTTTCATATTTATTGTGAAATGTTGACAACAAATTGGAAGAATCCTACTTTGTTATTATATTTTCATATTTATTGTAAAACATCAATCCCAAGTCCATTTTTTCATTTGTTCACATTTAATAATTTATTTTAAAGCTTAAACTGTCTACAAATTATATCTAATTAGAAGAATCTTCATTGTTGTCCAAAACTATCACCTTCCTTTTTGATTTTTGGTTAGACTTCTTGTTATCCTTGAGTCCCTGTTTCCATGTAGCCAAGGTACCTTCTTGGAGCTCTTGGAGTAGAAGGCCACCATCATTTTGGTAGGGAAGTGAGGGGGTACCTGTAGCAGTACCTAGGTACCTGTTCAATTTTTCACAAAAATGGGTACCAAGTACCACACCTGGCACCTCCCGACGGGAGCGGGGCGGGTGTGAAGGGTACCCCCCAAGCGGTACTAGGTACCTAGCAAAGGGTACCGTGGAACAATCTCTAATCTGTTCTGGTTTGGCTATTGCTGTCAGTATGTGCCTTAGGATTTGTGCACCTCCACAGAATCTTGTGGTAAGCCAAAAGTTGCATCAGCTGGATCTATACAGAACAGGATGAAGGTCAGTTTCATCTCTAAGGACCTTCTGAGTTTTGGATGATGTGGCTTTCATTGTTTTGCCTCATCATCTGTCTGGCTCTTGCAACCCTTGTTTGCAGTCTTGGCTTCCACAGGGGAATTCTCACATACTTTTCAAAGACCCTCAGTTACTATGTCAGGGACAGCTCTAATAAAGGCCCTGGGGTAGTTGCCAGATCAACTTTCAAATGGGTTATCTATGCCTCAAAGGAATATCTGGTCAGGCACTAATGTAGTGGTGTCCCAGGGATGAGATGATTAATCCACCTGAACTGGGGACATGTACAATGATGTACTTTTCTAACACAAGCAGAACACACAAAAAGAATGCATTTTGTCATTGATTCTGAATGAGAACACCTTTGATTCTTTTATATCACAAGAAGAACCATTTTTAAACTACCATTATGCTTCTGTGTGACAATTCTTGTTTACAAAAAGAATGGATGACTTCCTGTTGCAATCTATGACCCTCCCAGAAGTTGATTTACACCCGCCAGATCTAAGTTTTTTATCCAAAAAAATCTTTTTTATCAAGCCTTCTGGCAATAGCTCTCGTGTGAGCTGGTTGGAATCTTGATTGCTTTCTTAATTTAAGACTGAGAGAGGTCTAAAAATCACTCTAAATCACGACGGGAAGTCCTCCAATGACTACATATGTAATAAAGATAAAATATTGATGAAAGCGGTGGGTTTATTGACTATCAACAAGAATGATGCAATATGGTCTGTGTTCAAGCATCCTGTGGGATTCCCTCAAAATAATTGAAATAGAATTCCCATATACACATTTTGCAAAACTACTAGTCAACGCAAAGAATATTAATTTCTAGCGTGATTTAACGAGGTCTCTACTTCCATGTGGACTAGCAAGATATCTGAATGGAAAGACTTTTCATGATAAAACAATTTATCCGTCTAGCATCCAGAATTAGGGGCATAGACTTTCATTATTGCTCTAGTCTCCGCAGTTCCGATAGAATTGCTAATCCCTCTGAACCTCAACCCTTGCCGAGTGATAATTGGGAGGTGCCCCATCCATTGTGGATCTGATATACAGTAGTTTGTGATCATACGGGCCTAGGTTAGAGTCATGAAGTGGTATGGGCCATTCGGTACCAGGCTTGATGAACCCCGAATATATAACGGATTGTATAACTCTATCCAATGTACTGGGCATGTTGAACAAGTGGACTTCAAAAAAGGTTTTGTTGGGATCGATATTCTTGATGAACCATCTTTTCTCCGAGACATCGAAATAGATCTTGGAGCCGGCTTGATATTTTTCGAAGGGGGCAGAATCGACTTCAGGCACCCCATGGCCTTGCTTAGCTTGAAGTTCAAAACTTTCCCCTGGTCCGAGTGGTGGTAGGGCAGTCTTCACCATTCTCCCTCCCTGCTGTTGACGCACTAGGCAACCGAGAACATCGTCTGATTTGTTCTTCAAGATCCATCGGTTCCCCTCTTGCGACACTTGAACATCCCTAGTGGTGAAGGAAGGACCTACACTAGATGTACGTTGGCAGAAATCAGAAGCTTGATAGAACTGCGAGATATGCAGAGTGTGTATTTCTTACACAAATCCCTGCTCAATCAGGTCTTCATGCAGGGAGCTTATCACTGAGGCTACGATCATGGATATGATCAACATGAGAAAGCGTAACGCGAACGGCCGTCCCATCTTGATAGAAAAACTTGCGGCGTTGTTATTTCAGTGGATGCTATTAATCAGTCGAGATAGGTCTAAGGCAGGCTGAGGTAGATGGGGGCACCCCCGCTGCCGGTTTTTATAACGGGATAGCCGCAACATGGGTGGGAATCGTGAAGATTTCACCACCCTGAAGCTTCGTTTGCCGAGATGCAAGTGCAACACTATACAGTTCCTGAAGCTCTAGTTTCTCGCCAAGGATGATGGTTGTTGACGATCCGGCTCCGATCGTAGGGATGATTCCCGAAACGCGTGTTCAATACACCTTTCCATCAAGTGTTTGACTATTAGTCCGGGGCCATACACGGGAAAGAAGGAACAATACCCTACCATAATGAAAACTGGACTGGAGGTCTAACATCACGATATCCGGGGCGAGAGATAGGGGGCCTGGGGGCGGCGTGATGAATAACTGAGAATGATTGAGATACCGCTGATCGAATCATCGCGAATACCCCATCAAACCTGTTTGCGCAGAAGACGGTGGGTGTTTGCCCGGGTGCACAGACGGCCCGGCGAGGACCAGCAAGCGCCCGGGTCTCGGTGTCGGAGCTTCATATGTATGCGGCGGGACGGCAGGATGTCATCCGCCCGCGAATGTGTGTGGATCTGTGTGGATGTCACAGCGAGGTTGGCCGCTTTCGGGGATATGGATGTTGAGCATGTCACAGGCGATGCGAGAAAGGTGTCGCGCTCGCGATCAGGGTCGGGTTGGCTTCTCCCAAGATCACTCTTTATTTGGCTCATTCGGTCAACTACATAGATAACATCGGTTATATGGTATCATGCGAGTAAGTTATCTCTCTCTTCTATCTTCCTGTACTTCATCTATCCTTGTTCTGACAGATTTAACAATCCACAGATCTTATGCGTCGCCGAAAAGCCCTCCATAGCGCGTTCAGTGACGGAGATTCTCTCAGGAAATCAATTCACAACGGTCGGTCGAAAGAAATTTTCTGTGATATCTATCCGGGGTTTTTCCTCATCTTAGTACTGAAGAAAATGGCCGACCGTGTCTTTTTTTTTGGACTGTCGCAATGTTCGATTCTAGCGTCAATCACCCAACCGATACACGAAGAATTTTGATTTTCATTATCGATTACCACCCTCACCACAACTCGCCGATTTCACAGTGACCTCAGTGCTAGGACATCTAACGTGTACCGACTTCGATGCAGATTACAAAGGATGGCACAACTGTGATCCGTTCTCGCTCTTCGATGCACCCATCCATCGGTTCGTCAATCCCGTGAGCATTCCGTTCAAGGAGCTTCGGCAATCGAACTTATATTTCTGTTCGAATCTGAACCTCCCTCCTATCCAGGACCATACAGGAATCGAACGGAACCTCAAGGCCGAGGCCCGTCGGGCCGACAAGTTGATGATCTGGACCGATTGCGATAGAGAGGGGGAACATATCGGGTCAGAAATCGTCTCAGTCTGTCGCGCTGTCAAACCAGGTATCATAGTTCTTCGGGCTAGATTCAGTGCCATCATCCCTGCGTCAGTGTTTATTTAAGAGACCATCAGCATGGAACTGCGCCTTTGCTTGGACGCCAATCTGTCGCTTCAATCTTTGGCTAACCCTTTTATTTTCGGATAAATCTCACAGTCAAATCCACAACGCGTGTCAGAATGCAGGCCAATTGGATATGAATCAAGTCTACGCGGTCCAAGCAAGAATGGAACTGGATCTCCGAATTGGAGCAGCTCTGACAAGATGCCAAACAATGGGTCTTCAGACTCGATTTCATCAACTAGCAGACAGTCTCATCAGTTACGGTGTGTCATCTCTTGAGTCTTGTCCCTGCATCCCAAGTGCCCTATCTAACAAATTTGGCACACAACACAGGACCTTGTCAATTCCCAACATTAGGATTTGTCGTAGACCAGTATGACAAAGTCAAAGCATTTGTCGCTGAGGCATTTTGGTACATCCATGTAGTCTTAGAAAGAGATGATTCCAAGGTCGAGTTTAATTGGAAGCGTCATCGTCTCTTCGATTATCACGCTGCTTTTGTGCTACATGAGATGTGTATTGATGAACCTGAGGCAACGGTGAAGGATGTCAACATCAAGCCAACTGTTAAATGGTAGCTGAACTTTTTCCCAAAACACCCAAAACACATGAAAAAAGTCATTCCACCTCAAGTATCTCACCAAATTGAACTCATTTTCTCTATGTGCATTTGGTTTCTGAATCAGGAAGCCTTTGCCCCTTACCACAGTCGAACTGCAAAAATCTGGGTCCAGATTACTCCATCTGACGCCAAAAACAGTTTTAGATGTATGTATCTCGTAAGATCTCTTGATCAAGTCAACTTATCTCTAGACGGTTTCCTGGGTGGGAGTTTATCATTCTCTAACTCTCTTGAAGGATATTTTTCTAGATCGCGGAAAAACTTTACCAGAAAGGTTTAGTGAGTTATCCACGAACCGAAACCGATCAGTTTGATCGTGACTTTGATTTCATGGGGTTGATCGAGAAGCAAATGAACGACTCTCAATGGGGCGATTTTGCAACAAGGTGATTCCCCTACTTCCCCATTTCCAACCCCCCCCCCCCCCCCCCCCCCCAAGTGCGGGGTGTAAGTTTGGAGGGATTTAAAAAAAGGGGGGGGATTCCACACACCACAGAATGGGGAAAAAAAGGACATAACCCCATCCACGAACCACCCAACAGCCCATGCAAACAACTTGACTGCTGATGAAAAGCGGGTCTACGACTTCATCACCCGGCGATACTTGGCCTGCTGCTCGAAGAATGCCACTGGCAAGACGACCACCGTTGTCATCGACATTGCCGCTGAAGAATTCACAGCCACAGGTGAGCAACCCTCCGCACTGAAGCGGTGGTTATGGACTCCTATTCAATCGGTTCAGTGGAAGAGGATCTTTCTTCTTAGGGCTCGTGATCATCGAGCGGAACTATCTCGAGGTCTATGTGTATGATAAATGGAATGGGACGCTGCTTCCCGACTTCCAGATAGGCGAGAAATTCATGCCCACTTCGTGCGAGTTGAAAGAAGGCTCGACGAGCCGTCCCAACCTCTTAACTGAAGCCGACTTAGTCGGCCTGATGGATCGAAATGGAATAGGTAATCCTCCTCCTTTCGCCTCTTCTTCTCTCGCTTATGGCTACTGACAGACTTGTCTTCCTAGGGACGGATGCCACGATTGCCGAACATATCGCAAAGATCATCGACAGGAACTATGTGTTTAAGATCCGGGAAGGGTCGACGCAATACTTGGTTCCATCCACATTAGGCATCGGACTAGTAGAAGGATACAATGCGATTGGCTTAGACAAGTCGTTGAGCAAACCCCAGCTAAGACGCGAGGTCCGTCATTTTTTTTCTTCCCCCCCCCCCCCCCTTCGAATCTAACCATCTCACTAAATTCATTTACATCCCACATTGGCCTGTCTCAGACTGAAGATCGAATGTCACTGATATGTGAGGGCTCGAGAAGCAAAGGTGATGTGCTCACTCAAACCATCGACGAGTACCGCGAAGTCTTCATCCGTACCAGAAGAGCATTTGGTACGATTGTGGAGCAGGTTGCGCGGTATATCAACTCGGCCGGTGGCCAAGATACCAACAGCGGAGACGAGGGCGAGGGCGATGGTTCAGAGGGTGGCGGTGATGGGAGAGGTGGTGGCGGTGGCGGTGGTGGGAGAGGTGGAGGCGGTGGTGGTGGTGGGAGAGGTGGAGGCGGTGGCGGAGGTGGTGGTGGTGGCGGAGGAGGAGGGAATAGCAGGGGTGGACAGGGCCGAGGAACTCGAGGCACGAGACGCGGAAGAGGGACGCGGCAAACCAATCCCGGGGCGGGTCCATCGAGAGGAAATGGCCGGCCACCCACGAGCGACGACGATAGCGATGATGGGGATGATGGTCCTAGTGGCGGTGCAACGCGAGACGGTAGAGGCACGCGTGGAGCCACCCGAGCCGGCCGAGCCACCAGAGGCACGCGCGGGTCAAAATCTACATCTGCAGCCGCTTCGTCCCGAAACACCACTACTTCTGCCTCCGCCACCAGGGCCGGTCGGAGTGATAGCACCGGTGAGTAGACTTGTAACAACAACGGCTGCCACATTCTCATATCCCATTCATTCATCCTCGTTCCTTCTACTTCAACATATCCCCGGCCACATAATCAGCTCCTCTGTGTAAGTGCGGTGCTCAGACGGTCGAGCGTCCGGTCGTGAAAGATGGTCCGAACAAGTAATTACCTTTTTTCTTTTCATTCCTCTTTCCCCTGGTCACCAAAGCACCAAAAGAGAGTTAAACTTGGATGGAATCCTGCAGGGGTCGACTCTTCTATGGATGTCCGAAGCCGCAAAGCGAAGGCAGTTGTGGATTTCAAGGATGGGCAGACGAAGGAGGTGGTGGGAATGGTGGGACCAGCGGAAACACATCCCGGGCCAGTGCCCAAAAGCGCCCAGCCGGGGAGGCTTCACTTGGCGTGAGTACTTGAGATCGAAGCTACGATCGAGTGGATGGAGTTCACATTTCTTCTTCTTTGGTGTGCTCTCAGTTCCCCTCTTCACGCCGTCCAAAGACCAAGGAGTCTCAGGGTCCACTTCGGTGTACTTGCGACCTCGAAGCTGTTCGTAGAGTGGCTGGAAAGGACGGTCAGCATGCATCTCTTGTTTATAGAGAAATCCAAAAGGGGCTTGTAGCTGATTGGCTCTGATCGTGTCGTTTTGCTTCTTCATTTCTCTCTCTCTCTCTCTTTGGATATGGGAATTATCAAGGGCCCAACAAAGGCCGCGCCTTCTGGGTCTGCAGCAAGGTGTCTAAAGTGGCCCAATGTAAATTCTTCAAGTGGGAGGATGAGTTAGAAGGGGGCGGCCCAGCTGCCGGATCATCGACAACTACCTCGACATCTGCCGACAAGACCGGTTGCTTTAAATGCGGACAACAAGGACATTGGAGTAGTCAGCCACCCAAATATCCTCCCTCATTCGTCCTCCAATTCATTTCTAATGCATTCTGTGTTTTTTTTTTTGTTGTTGTTGCATTCCTTGGGTGTGATTGATTATAGGCGAATGTCCTAATCCATCTCAGGGAAATAACAACAAGTCAATCCAGCCTTCAGGGTCGAATTACACCTGCTTCTCGTGCAACGAACAAGGCCATCTTTCGACGACCTGTCCCAATAAAGATGGCCCAGTGGGCGGCAAGGGCAAAGCGGGTGGGAGCACGACGGGCCAGAAGTGTTTCCATTGTAACCAAGTTGGTACGGCCCCTTTTTTCCCTCTCTGACAGCTGATCTTTGGACTGATTGAAATAATGGAATGGCCATGTACAGGCCATTGGGCAAATGCGTGTCCCTCGAAGAACGATGGCTCTGCTGCTTCTTCTTCAAGGGCTAGAGGAGCAAGGCGAGGCTCGGCCACTAGACGGCCTAGGAAAAGAGCCTCTGCAACCTCCTCCAGAGCTTCTTCAAGACGCAAAATAAACACCCCAATGGACACTTCTGATGATTATTAATCCGCTTCCTTCTTTCCTTATTTTGTTTTTTTTTTCGGTGTCTCTATAATTTATATGTACCTCTTTTTCTCTCCCCCCCCCCCCCCCTCGCTCTCTTTGCCCTTTGTCTCGTTCAGCTTCACCCCAATTGCTGTACCATAATCGAAAGAGAAGTAGTCTTCGATACCATTCTTGTTGTATGGGTGTAACTTCAGATCGTATACCCCCCCCCCGCAAAAAAAAAACACAAAAGTGGGAGGGGGCTTGTTACGCGACAATGTTGAATGGAACGGGGGGAGATTCAAGAGTGTGTGTCCTTATAGAGGGCTTCCATCGGCCCTTTTGAGTCTTGACGATCTGGAGGATGAAGCGTGAACATCCTCTTGGAAATGGGCAGAGAAGGATAATCGTGAATGGTATTACATATGTAGATTGACCGTGACTTATCTCTTTAGATACCTCGGCAAGCTTCAACCAACACACTCTTCAGAATCCTTGTGTACATTGATGTCATCCTTTTTTCGACCGGGAAGGCCAGTTGACCGGATGGTGGTCATTGGATACAGTTTTGTATTATCGATGATGCAGACGGCTCCATATGATCCTATATATTGTGTTTTTACAAAACCTTGGACGGATCTGCAATTTTTTTTTGATTGGATACCTACAAATATATCAAGATAGCAAGTTTCGGACTTCAGTTTTGTCCTTCAATGTATGATGATCCATCCGGCATGGGATTTCCCATCTTGTTGAAGATCATTCCTGCGGATTTTCAAAACCATAAACAATGCATGGAAATACCAATATCAGCATATATTTACAAGGAGCTAGACTACGGTTGGCTCAGGTCCACACCAATTGACCATCCCCCCACCAAAAAAACCAAAAAATTCCTTCATATCCTTCTTTCAAAATGGATCCGAGTACTGAACCCTCCCAATGCGATTCTTCGGCCGATCCATCTTTACCCACCTACAAACAAGTCATCACCGATCATCCTTCCGCCAAGAAAGCTGTCAAGTCTGCAAAATTAAAGAAGCCGCGAGCTGCTCCCAAATCAAAATCCAAATCGAAAAAGAAGAATAAAAATATATCACCCAGCCTGGATATCGCCAGTGGTGACGACGAGGACAATGCTGTGGGTTGTTGTCATCTTATGCTTACCGCGCTGGCCTAATACTCACCCCATACTGACTTCATACTTCTATTGCAGGTCAAAAAGGTCATCGTAACAACAAATTTCAAGCTTTTTGTCTTGGATGTTGATCGGTCCAAGAAGGCTAAGAAGGTGTGGCTTCTGATCAGCCCTCCCAACCCAATCAAAATTGAAATCACCATTAGTCCCAAAGACAAGGTGACAACACATGATCAGTTCATCTCTCTAGTCACCTCGAAATGTGAGAATGCAGTGGCCAACACGGGTGCAATCCTCTCTGACGGCTTATCGAGTGGTTCACCAGTAATCAACTGGTTTGTGTCGATCGCTCGTGTGGAGGGCTTCAAGAAGGGGAAACCGTTCCTCCTGGAGAATCAGATGGCGTTCAACACCTGGATGGAGGCCCTTGCAGACAACGAAGCCGATGAGTCTACCCTGTCGATTGAGATGACCAATCCAAACCAAGTCGCCAAGCTTCAGCATGACGCGGAGGTCCTAGCGAAGGATGCGGTACGCAAGGAGGCTAAGCGGTTGATCACCGTTGCGAGAGAAGCAAAGAGGGCGCGGGCTGGCGATTCCGAGGGCGGCAAACGTAAGCGATTGGACGAGGATTCCGATGAGGACACCGAGGGGTCTGATGACGAAGTGGAGTATGACAAGGATGCAGTCAAACTCTTCATGCGACAGCTCTATGCAACTCATTCGGCAAACGCCTTGTACGATCGCCACCTTCCAGTCTACATCAACCCGTTGAATCACTCACAATACTTTCTGTTGTCCAATGGGACTTGCCAGAAATGGGCAAGAGCTCTGGTAAGTTCGCTCCTGACTACTCACTACGCTGCTTATGGCTGATATTGGCAATGTTTAGGTAAAGGTCCGAGAGGGAGTGTCAATCCAATCTCCCCCAAAGGAGTTCAAGTACGAGACCCTCCCTCCTGCCAATTCCATTCCTACCAGCACAAAACAACTGGCCAGAACCTCCACTCCTGCGGGATGTGCCCATCATGCTTGCTCGGGTCATGCCTCTCATGCCTCTCCACCGTCTAGCTCCGATGGGCCTCAGCCAGGCAAGGACGTTGGGATTCGCGACTATATCAATTTCATTGGTTTGAGGCAGGCTGACGAGGTGGTAGACCTCCTCATTCGGAATGACCTGCAAAACTTCAAGATCTTCCGCTCTCGCAACCTTGACCGATCGGCCCTTCGAAGTCTTGGCTTAACGCTAGGGGTGGTCACTCAACTGTGTGACTACGTATCCAAGTTTGAAAGACACTTGGCCAAGCAAGATCTCTTGGCCTCAAACTAGGTGCGTTTGGGCTTTTTCTTTCACATTTGAGGGGTCTGATGATGACTGACTAATAACTAACCAATTTTGGCCGCCATCCTGACCACATGTATAGCAATTACGATCCTGCTTATTCAATCGCTCGTCTCTAGGGCCGTAATCAGGCGGCTGCTTATTTGATTGCATGTCTTATGTCCGGTATCTTTCCTATCTATCTATGCGGTTATAATTACTCCACTGCTTATTTGATCGCTTGTCTGGACTGTCCTATCTATCTATCCGGTGTATACTCACTTTATTTGATTGCTTGTCTGATGTCCGGTATCTATCCTATCTATCTATGCGGTTATAATTACTCCGCTCGCTGCTTATTTGATCGATCGCTTGTCTGGACTGTCCTATCTATCTAGCCGGTGTATACTCACTCCTCTGTAGTTGAAAGATCCTTATTGTCCGTGTGTCTGTCTCTCTCATATCTATGATGCTATTCCGCCAGCCCAATACCACCTGTAATGTATTAGTGACCGACCTGTTTGTTTGTTGGGTTGAATTCTGCCTGCTGACTGGCTTGTGCGCACTCTATCATTCCCTATCATGCCCTCCACCATCTGTCTGTCTGTGATCTGTGATTTAAAATTTGAAAATTATGGGTTTGTCATCAATCCAATCCATCAGCAAGGTAGACAGGGATCAGACGATCCATCAGTGAGGCAGACACAGTGAGGCAGACAGAGACACTTATAAGATATCATATCTATCATATTTTTTTATTGTCAGATTTCATAGCGATGAAAAAGATTGCTCTTGCAATTCTCAAGCATTCCTTCAAGGTAAGGTAGATAGGCAATCAAGCATTCAATTCTCCATTCATTTTCAAGCAGTTATGTAAGGAAGGCTGGCAAACAATCAGGTTCGGGTGTAGCGGACAGGCAGGCAAGGCAGGAAGACAGACAGGCAAGGCAGGCAGGCGGTTGGGCAGATGGGCAGATGAGCAGACAACAGGCAGGCAAGCAGGCAAACTAAGAGCGGGAAGACAGGCAGAGCAGCAGGCAGGCAGGCAAGTGGACAGCAGGCGGCAGACAGACATTCAAGCAGACAGAAGAGCAGCAAGCAGGGAAACAGCCGGGCAGGCAGGGACAGGAACTATTTATGGGTGGCTACTGGAGTGGAACCGGCACAAGGGGAGCGGGAGGTAATGAAATTGTTGTTCTCTATCCCATCACAATACTCGTGTAATCGTGGGACTCCCTCCCAAAGCAAACGGGCCACCCCGGCCGTGAAGCCAAGGTCTTTCAAGTCGTCCTCGTCGCATCTCCGAAAGAAAGACCAGTGGGTGATTCCATGGTCAGCAAGTCGTTCTCGGGTGCGCCTGTCGTCGTCTGGAACCTTGGCCACGCGCAAGTAGGTGTCCATTGTGATTTCATCCATGTCTCTTCGTGGTGGAGGCATCGGAGATCTGGGGACTTTGACTTTCGGCGCGATATTTGGGTGGACATCGGCATGAATTTCGGGGAGAAAGAGGCGTTTGGGGAGTACTAGAGTTCCGGTTTCGCTGCCGCTAGTTACACTGAGGGGTATTGGGGTCTTGCGATTGTAACGCTGGTGCTTGGAGACGTGTCGGTCGGTGAGAGCCAATGGATAGTCGTCCGAACCATTGTCTGTGCTCGACAATTCTTCGGCATCACGGGTCTGGGCAATGCTTGCCTCATCACTCTTTGATGATTGGGAAAGCAGCTCGGGCGCTTGCACGGTTGAGGCAGCGCGTCCTCCGCGGATTTTTGTTAAGCGCCACTCAAACTGTATTGGAGGAATGCAATTGTCGATCGTCAGCTCATGCTTAGGTTAGGGGATGAGGGAGATGAGAGCGTGTGCTTGCCTTTAAGTCAGGATCATCTGCGCGGGGGTCCTTCATGATCAATCGTATTTTGACCTCAGCTGGGTAAGCCGCATGCGCCGCCGCGCCAAAGGCCAAGTAGTCGAGTTGCCCAAGGAGTCGAATGCCATCTGGGCTTGGATATTTCGGGTGGTTGGTAATCGACGCAAACCAGTCGATGGTCTTTCCGATATTGGCGTATTGCATTGCCGGGAGGAGGTAGGCAGTAGAACTTGATAAAAATATTAAAGCCCCGTCTTGAAACTGCTTCCAGTCCATTGACTGGAGGTCGGTATTCCACGGGGTAGAACGGGTTGGCGATGTCACTTTAGTCCATTGGACTATGGGCTCAAGCGGGCCAAGGCCGTGATCATTTTCCAAAAAAAGCAGACACTGCACATTGATAGGAGCAATCTGGCTAGGGGAGGTGGGAACTGGGACATCATCCGGTTGTGTTTCTGGACAGAGGACATACCCCGGTGGTCTGACCATGGGATCCATGTTAAGCCAACTACTCTAACAAATAACTAACCGGGAGGAGGCTACAAGGTGATAACTGGCCAGATGGAGGGAATAAAAATGGCGAATGAAGAGAAGAGAGGAGGGAACAATGAGTCGGGTTAAAAGGACAACATGGATTGGGTATGGGAGGCATCAGAAGCCGAAAATGCCCCTATTTCTACCCACGACCAATCCCCATGGCCGTGGGTGGGGCCCCATGAGGAGATGTTGTTGAGCCGTCAGGACTCCACATGACAGATCTTTTGCTGCGCTAGATCAGGTGAGGAGATAAGGATCAGGTGGGACTGACTAACCCGACCAATGGCTATGCATCTGGCAAGCGGTTGATTGCGATAGACATTGATTGCACTAGCTGATTGATGAACCCGAGTGGAAGAAAATTGTCGTTACATTGAGAGTGTAACAACAAGGAGGAAAAAATAGCAGGTAGAGGTAGCGGTATAGGCATATAAGAGAGTTACACTAGCAGACAAGACATCGAGGGAGTGCAGTAAGCAAGGAGATAGCTAGGGAGGCACCATGTGACCACAGGAGATACATCTAAGGGGGCACCGCGTAACCACAGTGCTTGTAATTTTTATGGCACAATTCCGGAGTAATCACTGAGTCGATTGTTTCCCGAATGTCCCAATCGGGATCCGTGCTCTCATCCAAGATCCTTGTGCGACGAATTTTGTATTTCAACGCCGAGAAGCAGAGCTCAATTGGGTTGAGCTCTGGACAGTAGGGTGGAAGATACTTGATCAGTATACCATAGTCAAAGCAAATCTGTTCCACCCGACTGCCTTTGTGAATCTGAGCGTTGTCACACACAAGGATTGAGTTCCGGGCGGGGTAAGGATTCATCCGCGGAAGCTTGTCAGAATACACACCAAGAAAATCAGTCATAGATCTAGCCCGTCTCAAGTGAATAGGGCCAAGCTTACTAAGTCCCACTCAAGGAAGTCTTCCCATTTTCGGCCAACAAAGGTGTTGTCGGTCATCGCCATCGCAAGGATCCCATCTAATCCAATGGCCGGCAGGACACTAATCCGGTCAGAGTTTTGGTTCACAATGAATCGTGCCGAGGGTGTGCCTTTCGCAGAGCGGGCAAAGTTACGGAGCAGATCGCGGTCACAAATCGCACATTCATCTGAGTCGTGCAGAGAAGCAAAAAAGTTAATATCAGTCAACAGCAGTAAGCCAATGAATGTGAATGAGGAATCTGACTAACCAGAGAAGACCAGGAATTCAGCCGGAATGAAGCGCATCTTCTCAATGTAATCAAATTTCTTGATTAAGCATTTCCTTATATTAACAGTCCCGGGTTTCTTGAGCGTGATCGAAAGCTTGACCACTAGATTGCGGTGAATGGCCTCGACAGAAAGAAGGGTGCCGTTTTGGTCGTATAATCGCTCCCGGATCTCATCCAAAAAAAGGCTAGGCTCATCTTTGACCAGTTGAACCATGAAGCTTGAGTCGTTGTGAGAAAGGAGGGATGGTCGTCCTTGCTGCTCATACTCATCTGGGTTTCGTATAACACAGCGAGTCTGTTCATATAATTCCATCCAGCGGGTAAACGATTGTCGAGAGATTGGTTCGCCAAGAGCGGTGCGGATGAAAGACTGATCATGACCTTGGATTAGCATCCGAACCGCAGCAACCTTGGTTGCTGGGTGGTATAAGACAAAACCGCCCATCTGATCTGAGCAAGCAAAACGAAAGAAAAGGATTACATTAGGGAGTAATAAAAACCTGTGACAGTCGTTGTCGTTCAAAGTTATTGGGGAAATAGTCCACTCACTGTACCTGAAATGATAGGTTGATGACACTCACACAGCCGGTTTCGGACGGTTGGGAATCAATGGATGGGAGGATGAGGAGGGGTGCAGGGGGAGGGGTGAGGTCAATAGGTGGTATACTATCGGTCAAGTGGGGCATGATTTCAGACATACATATGAGAGCTTGTTCATGCATGTGTGAATCCATGTCATGTAGTATTTTCATGGTATCAGATTAGTGTGAAGATAAGGGAGTGGGAGCCGAAAAAAAAAGTCAGAAATTGAAATAAAACTGCCATTGGGCAGGCCAGGGAAATGCATAATTGGTTACTACAGCCATTTCGAGAAAGGTTGCGGTTCGCGAGCCAGACTTTTTTTTATTTTTTTTATTTTTTTTATTTTTTTATTTTTTAGGGGCTGAATACAGCCCTGTATATGAGCTGGATTACTTCCAATTCTTCGTTTACAGAAGAAAACGAAGGATTGGAAGACATACAGCCGACATACAGGGCTGTATCAGACTCTAAAAAATAAAAAAATAAAAAAATAAAATAAAAAAATAAAAAAGTCCGACTCCCAAGCAGCAAGCTTTCTCGAAACGGCTGTAACATCTACATATAACTAAAAAAATGGCCTCAGAGGGCCAAACAAACTGTCAGCCTTTGTATTGATTTCTCATGCGGCTTCTAACGCCGGCGTCGATATTTCACATTTCAATGTCATTTCTGACATTCACTAATACTTTACAATCATAGCGACCTTCAAAATCAAAGGTACACCATAGGACTTTAAACAAGTAAAACCCCCAACATCCGGGGCAAAAACGAGCAGCCTCCCCAAATTTGGGGGCATATACTAGTAAAAAATAAAAAACGGATCCTGTCCAAGGTTTTGTAAAAACACAATATGTATTTATGTACAAATCGCTTCAAGATCTACGAATCTTCTTGCAATTCTTTTTCTTGAAGGCTTCTCCATATGTATGTAGGTAGGAAGTGCAAGAGCGAGGATAAGATGGGATGGGATGTAATTAAGGGTCGCTCGATGAGGTGATGACAAGTTGTTGGTACAACACTTTCAACGGTGTTTGCGTCACACCAGTGAATGGTGTGTGCTTTATTGTTGTAACTCGTTACTCGGCTGGGAAGATCATTGTTCATTTTTTTCTTCTTTTCTGTTTCGCTTCGAACGGTTGATCTCTCGCGAGACCCTCCGTAATCAATTCCTGCAAAAACTTGTTCTTCACAATCCACTCCTCGAGTCCTTCTTCTTCGGCCTGGGATTTGAAATTTGTTGCCAGGATTGATTTCCCTTTTCCCTTCTTCTCCTCCTCTTACAACAACCTACATACAACCTCAACCAACACAAAAAAATAAATAAAGAAAATCTCCCTTCTACATATTTATTTACATACGGAGGAAACCAGTCCGACTCCCTTCAGCGCGCAAGTGCCATCAGACAAGCCTGCAGAAATACCCGTTCCCATTCGAGATACCCCGCGCACGGTCGGCACGATCCCACACCAGCCAACCAGCCAAAACAGAGCAAAAGAGCTCCTCTTCTTCCCTGGTCTCTTGGCTGTGAATCACCCCCAACAAGCCTGGCTCTCCTCCAATCAACTCAGTCCACTACGATAACCCATCCATCCATCTGCACCCTCCTCTCCTCCTCATCCGGTCTCACAGATCACTCTTTCCCTCTCTCGCACTCTCGACTCCCTTGGACAGCTGAGCACACTCATCCCCAGGAACCTTCTCGCCTCAGGGACAACACTTGCACAAATTCGTCGAGGACGCGGTGTACACAGGAGAAAGCTTAAGGTAAGTGGCAGTCTTGAGGACCTCGAGGTGCTGGTTTTTGTTCTGCAATACATGTCTCAAAGTCGTCAATCCAGGCTCGATGTATGCTCTCGTACATGTTGCATACAGGCTTCTTTCGTCCAAACGCGACAGAGAAGACCAAGGCTGTACATCTTCCCAGCTGGAGGCTTATGTGCAATGCATCCACCAGAAAATGTGTACAGCATGATGTTAACCCCCTTGATTTTGGTTTTTTGGTTTTTTGGTTTTGGGCATGGGCTTTATGTGTAGCCAGTGTGCAGCAGCTTTCGAACAGCAGAGGAACAAAACACATTAAATTCAGCCACCCCTTTGGATACACATACTCAACATATCCCCCACCCAAGGCCCGAGATGGCTTCCCAAGCCAACCAGCAGCACCAAGCCAAACTCAATCGACACTCCTTCGACCAGGAGAAATCGATGCCCAACAACACCACCTCACCATCACACTCACCCGCCCTACTACAACAACAACAACAACCACATAACCAACAACATCACCACAGCAAAGAGGAAGCCCACCATCACAACACAAACATCAACATCATCACCCAACACCAAGACCACCATCACCCACCTCAGCAGCAACAACAACAACGACGCTCAGCCAGTCATACCCAGACACAGAACAACAGACTCTCCGCACTCCCACCGAGCATGGCACGGAACCGACTGCCGACGCTCCAGGAGGTCCTAGCCAGACAGACCAGACCGCCCGTCGATCTGTCAGTACTCTCTCTCTCTCTCTAACACACAACAACCTTCTCTCTCTCTCTCTCTCTCAGGATGACTTGCAAACTGACGAAAAATCGATCTTCTGGCTGTCTACAGCTACTGCTTCTACCTCTATCTCCAGCGGGAAAAGGCCGAAGACTCGCTCGACTTCTGGCTCGACGCTCAGCAACACGAGAATCTCTGTCGGGCTTACTTCAAGGACCTCCGCCGCTCCGCCGTCGACCTGAGAGACGAGTGGCCCGCTTATTACCAACGCGCTTGTACTAGGGGGAGCGTTTATAATCCTAGTCAGTTCGCTTTCTCTACCAACTCATTTGTCCATTCTATACTTATGCTCGTCCCCTTTAATTTGATTGTTTCTTTCTTAGTTAATGGGATTTCTAGACAGAGTCGACTGATGAACGAGACGCAGAATTTCTTCCAAAGACCCAGTAAGGAGCTCTGTCGATTATTTATGACATCAGAAACAAGAGATCAAGAGAGACTGACGATAACGGGAACCGAACCACACAGATGCCGCCCAATCGATAGACAGCTCGCGAGTTTCCCAGCAGGGGATGCCGAGCCCCAAGCCTCCCCACGTCTCACCCGCCTTACGAGCGCTCTTCCCACACGACAAGATCCCCGATCAGGACGACGATCTGCCGGTCCGGCCGTTACGTCAGAGCAGCACTCGGGCCCGCACGCCCATCCAACCGGTCATCCGTCAGTCCCCCTTCGCATCCCAACAACAACAACCCCAACCATCCATGACACTGACTCTCTCTCTGTTGGGGTCCTTTTTTTTTGTAATAGCACGTTCCTCGGCGATCACCAGGACAGACCTGATAGCCTCGGCCGAGCGGATCTATTATCGCTACCTGCTCAGCGGGGCCGAGAAGGAGATCTACCTGCCCTCGAGCCTGCGGATCCACAACTTCCCGATCAACAGCACCAGTCTGCCGCATGCGGGCAGCCCGGACTACGACGACGAGGCCAGCTTCTTGGCTATGGTCCCCGACCTCTTCGTCAGCCAGAAAGAATACATCTTTCGAAGGTTAGTCCCTTCCTTCCGTCTCCTCTCTCTCCTCTTCTTCTTGTTGGTCTAATTGTTTGGGATTCAATTAGCATGGAGCGAGACACCTTTCCTCGGTTTCTTCGCGCCAAAGCGTTCGGTAATCTGACCCCGATGAGCAGCATCATCCGGTTATCTGTCGGCTTGGTGGCCATATGGATCGGCCTATCCGTCGCTCTGTCGCTCATCTTCCTCGACATCCATCCTCGTGCCCATCGGCTCTGGGTCAGTCCTCCCTTTCCCTTCTCCTTTCTGTCATTTTTACTTATTTTTATTGAGAACGATGTGGCAGTCAATGATCCCCTTATCGATCGGCGCGGTCGGAGTTCTGGGCCACTTCTACGAGCTCGACCCGGTCCTCCTGCTCTTCAATCGCTCGGAAACTACGTTCTTTAGGACGCTCTCTATCAAGGAGAAATACGTCCAGAAAATCCTCCGTGGTTCGTACCCCTACCCCCCCCCCCCCTCTTTTTTCTTGTGGAAAGACAATGTGCGAGGATGCTGAAATGTTTGTGGGTGTTGTCGGGACAGGCAGGGCCGTGTGGGTCGTCGTCCTCAGCTCGATCATCGTCGCTTGTCTCACCTGTATCCTCGTCTTCGTCCCCGGCCATCGTCTCTAACCCTAATACATCCTCGACTCTCCCCTCTCCAAACCCCTTCTCCACTTACCTCTTCTTCTGCTCTGACTAATTCTAATACTACTACTATCTCGACTTCCGTCCACCACTCCTCGTTCGAAATTTCTTTCTTTTTTTTCTTTTTTTATTTCTTTCGTTTGTTCGGCGTCGCTTCCTCCACGTCCTCTCAGTAGCTCTTATCCTTATTTTTTCCGTCTTTCCTCTCTTTCGGATTCTGGGACGTTTTTTTGTTTCTTCTTCTTCTTCTTTTCAAAACAAAGAACAAGGAGGAAACTTGTGTTCGGGGGACTTGGGCACTACATGTTTTTTTTGGTTGGTTGGTTTTAATGTGATACCCTGTTCAGGATCTCTTTCTTTGTTTGATTTGATACCTATCTTATACTTGTCTCCCCTCACCTCAGTTATTTTCTTCCCACACATTCTTTTCCAAGTTGTGTGTCTTTTCTGCTGTGTGTACATATTAACATTCAGGAGAGCGATTCTATTTGACGATACCTTTTCGTGTTTACGGGGCCTGTCATTCACTTCTCTATCTGATGGGTTGTCTTCCTTTTTTTTTGTTTTTTGATATGATCAGTTGATCTACCTTGGCATGTATGTGTGTTCTTTTTTTGGATTTTTTTTTTGTTTTGGGAAAGGTATCTTTGACTATATTATTATTTTATATATACCCCCAAGCTGTCTTTTTTTTTAAACCTTATGCCCTCCTATATCTTACCCGCTGATCATACCACCATGAGCTGTGTGTGTGTGTGTGAAATTTGGTTGTTGTGGTCTTTGAGGCTCAGCCCTCTTGTCTGTGTTCTTCTTTGTGATTGGATGGGCCTGGACTGGACAATGATAAATATAAGAACTTCGACGGGGTCTACCGTCTACGCTAGGCTCTGGAAATCTGGATCTTGAACTGATGGGCCAGGTCTTGAGTTCAGTTTGATGAGTCTATCTTTCTCTAGCATTCAGTGTTACATACATCTACATATACCTAACAGAAGAGGCTCAGAGAGCCAACCAAACAAAGTGTCATGCAATCTAACACTGGTGGTGTTGTTGACCTCTGATTCGAATTTGTCAACACCAAGGGTAGACTGTGAGACAGACAGGTGCCCAACACCCCCCATTTATTAAAGGGGCAAAAGGTCATCAAAACTTCAGAGTCAAGCAACACCCTCCAACGGGGCAAAAGGTCCTCAAAAGATCACCACGTCCGACTGTCCACAATTGGGGGCAACACTACTAGGATACAAGATAAAAAAAAATGTGCATGCAGTGGCAATGGGGGGCCAGTTAAACTTACACTAAACACAGTGTGAGTAGTAGGGGCCCTGGGTTTTGTGGTTTTTTTGGAGGGCCGATCAGACCGTTTGGGGCCTCTCCATTGTCGGTCCCCTCAAGGGGAATTATCTATCGGTTTCTGCAAAGGACACTTCTTGAGCTGCATGGTCCTGAATGAATCCAAACCACCCTGAAGGCTTGCAAGCCATCTTTGTGTAGCTGATTATGGCCAGGCCTCTAAGATATTCAGGGGAATGAGAGAGATGTTGTGCATAGATGCTTGATGATCAGCACAATCAGATTGTTTGATACTCTGTGAGGCTGAGCAGGCTGTGGCTACTTTCTTGGGGTTCATGGTGTCAGGGTTTGAACAGATCAGCCAGACTTGTCCTGGATTCTGTAACACATAAAGAACATTTATGGAGTTGTGTGAAGTGTATGTGGACGTAGTTGTATAGAGTTGGTGTATGTTCATGTTATATGTGAGGAACTAATAGAAAACTCAAAAACATCAAAAAACACTTCTGGACAAAAATTGATGCTGAGGTTATAGATTGGAGTGTGAGAAGGGCAAACTGCAGTAAAGGTCAATGTTGAATTTTAGGCGAAAAGGCCGGAGAAAAAAATACGTTTTGACTCAAGTTGGAAGGGCTCAAGTGCTTCACAACTGAGACTGAAGAAGGGCTGAGGTGCTCCTTCAGGAAAGGCCCAGAAAAGAATAAAGAACCAATCATTTTTTTAGTAACTAGAGAGTTTAAATAATCTAGATACAAAATGCGCAAAATGTGGGAGCTGGTATTGAGGCATATTGAATAAAAATAAAATAAAAAATACCGGTGAAAAGGGAGTGACATTCAAGAGAAAAAGGAGACAGAGAGATGTCACAGCAAAATTTCAACAGTCAATTAGGAATCAAGTTTTGCTTGATCAAGATGGCATGTCAACCATTTTCATGGCCAATACAAAGCAGCCAAAGGAGCCATTCCTATGATCTTGGTCCACGAGCACTATCTTGCCCCAAGGAAAAAGCCAATTTGGGTGGTGGAAAATAGGTCAATTATCTCACCCTTTATTTTTACAAAATACCTCAGGAGTAAAAATTAGAATACATTGAGACATTTTAGCTCAAATGAGTTGAAAAGGAATTTTGGAAAGTTTGAGGTGTTTTTATTTCTGGGCTAAAATAGCTGATTTTAGCCTCCAGTTATGCAAGGCATCTTACCATACAGACCTGCCTGCAAAATTAAAATTTATGTGTGGGCCAGGTGTTTACATGCATGACTGATAGGTAAGGCATGTAGATGATAGAATTGGGCTTTTTGGAGGGTATAGAATCCCATTCTAAATGGGCTAAGGTTGTTAGCCAGCCATTTTATTTATTTATTTTACTTTACCCTGCCCAATTACAAACAGGCTGCATAAATCCATAAGCTGAGTGCATATACATGGACATAGGTATTGTAAATCCATACCTATGCAATCAGGAATTCACCTCAACCATGATTATTAGGTTTATAGCCCCCCTCCCCCCCCCCCTAAAACCATGGTTTTGGTTCCCAGAGTCCACCTTAGGGAATCGGGAAAATGGCATCCCCTCTGTGAAAAAAGAGTCTGAGTATGCACAGCCATGAAAAAGTACACCATTTCAACCTACTAGGTATCAATAAAAAATTCAATTTTTTTTTCAAGTCTGAAATTACAAACAGCTGTGAAATCCTGTACAGTAGGATTCCTTGTGCAACTGTAAGTTCTACTCCTAAGGCATTTTGTGAAAAAAGTGCCAGGAAATTGACCGATTTTCCCCCACCCAAATTGCTATTTATCCTTGGCAAAAAATCAGTATTGTTTGTAGTGAATTTCTGTCAGCCATCAGTATCTACCATCATTGGTGTTTGATTTATCTACTATCATTGGTGTTTGATTTATCTACTATCATTGGTGTTTGATTTATCTACTATCATTGGTGTTTGATTTATCTACTATCATTGGTGTTTGATTTATCTACTATCATTGGTGTTTGATTTATCTACTATCATTGGTGTTTGATTTATTAATATCATCGGGTGAGAGTTGGATTGAATTAAGATCAAGTGTGATGGTCAAGAAGAGACATGATCATTGGATGAGATGCTGATTCAGTGATTATGAGTGATCATAATTTGCAGGGTGATCACTGTGTCTGTAGAAAAATATTGCACAGCAGTCTATGAACATACTCATGGGATGTGTTGATGCTCATTATTTTACTACATTCTTTACAGTGGTAGTATGCCTTGTCATGTTGCTTGTCACATGTAATAGCTGGCATTAAAGCCTCAGACTGCCACCTACATTGGTCTTGCCACTTGAGAGACAATCGGGCCACCTCTTCCATAGACATTGCCTGACCTTGTCCTCAACAATCTTTATCTGGACAATCAGGAAGCCGTGGGGTGTGAGAAATTGCAATGAGAACCAGCTATTATGCTATTGAGGAATAGGAAGAAGTCCCTAAGCGGAGTTACAACTACGAATTTCTAAAACTATGTATTTATCTACATTCCACACAAAAAGAAACTCACCAACTTCACCAAACCCAGACCACACTGCCCAGGACACAATTATCCATCACCTGAGCTATCAATGCTCTTCATCATGACTTAATCAATAGAGCAGAAAAGTTGATACATGAGAGTGTTAGAATGCTCATAGCCAGTAGTCTGCTTCTATCAAAACTCATTTTTATTTAGTGTACAGCTGGCTCTGATATTCTGATCTTTCCCCACTCAATCTAAACTACTTTTATCTTTGCGCTCAGTCAACTGTCACAAGACTCACATCTGTGACTCTCAGCTCCCAGCCAGGACCCCCAAAGAGCCCCTACCAAGTCACCTAATAATTTTTTTCAATAAATTTTCCTATCATGCAAAAGTTTCATTTTTTTTTTTTTTCATCCTTGTAAAAAATCTCTAATCATTTCATGTGTAAATTTCAACTGGTGGAAAAATTGCTACCACATACATACATAAGGATCATGCACTGCTTTTTTTGTTTTTGCTACCTTTTTGCAGATTTACACTAGGCACATCTTGGGAAAAAGAGCCCATTTTGCTACATTTTACAGTAGGTGGTTTGGTTGGGGATTTCTGGGGTCCTTCCCAGCCTGGTCCACCTCAGCAGAGAGAGTATAGAAACCTAACATATATTTTATTCCCAAGAGTTAGCTCAGCAGAAGAAGTAATCAGTCCAGAAATATCTACTACAATGAAGTAAGAATGTGAGAGAGAGAGAGAGAGAGAGAGAAAAGAGAAAGATTAAAACAAAACAAAAAAACAGAGAAAAAAAAAGGAAAAAATGACAATGAAAATGACATACCTAGCTATCTTTAGGAGGAAATCAGTCTGGGAATCTCTACTAATCTAGAAGGCAGGAGCAAGGGCAAGCATTACTTACTAATCAAGCTTATCATGTAAAAAAATTTCAATTCTTGTAAAATATGAGTGGAGTGGGATTTGACATTCAGCTGCATATCTGCAGAGATCTTTCTGTCCTCTTGCCACTGCATCCAATATCCTGGTTCACATAAGCTGGTTCTGATGGCTGATGACCTTGTCAAAAACCGCTGATAGCATTTTTTTTTCTTGATGGGTCAGGAATAATTTGAAAGACTCCAAACTATGTCACCACTAATGGGGGTTGATGAGAATAGTCACATTCCTCCCCCTCCAAAAAAATCTTTATGCAGACCAAAATGCCAAAAAGTGTGTGTTTGGCTGCACACTAATCCTTTTGGCTAACCCCTTCCAGAGGCATTAGGGCAGTTCACATAGTGTTGATCTTGAGTATTAGCAGTCAAACTTTGTTTGACATGGACTTTGCTGATTTCTTGGAAGGGGGTTGGAAAAACAGCCCCCTTTTCTTAGCTGATGACTCCCAAATATTGGGGAAGGTTGAGAGGATCTGTGCTTCAGGTGAATGGATTTAGAGAAATCCCACGGCGGCCCCTACTTCCAGGCCGTAAAATCTTGATGATCGGGTCCACGCAGCCAGTTTTACAGTCTCAAACTGCTGCGGCATACACCATGACTTGGAGGAGTGGCTTGTAAAAATTGATGACAGGTGTGCTGTGGAGGGTGGTGAGGTGTGTGAGGATTGGGTTTCACATGTTGTTGTTGTGTTAAAGAGTTGTTTGTAGATTGTGGGTGAGTCCCTAGGAGTCCCCACATACATGTGAGGACTCACGAGGAGATTTTACGGCCTGCCCTAGCTTAACAAAGCCTCTCCCGGGGTGTCCCCGCGAGATTCTCTCCGTAGGAGAGGCTTATGAGAGCATCCGTATCGGTGGCTATTTCCGCCCCGAGCTAAGGAATTTAGCCGCAGATTTCAACCGCACCGGGGTGAGCTAAAGTCAAGCCAAATTGGCTTGTGGCAATATCTTCAGCTAACCGTTGCTATATTTAGCAAGGGTTAGCTTCAGAGCTAAATTGCCAGCTAGAGCCACAGTAGCTGCACCAAGCTATATACTCGCCAACCCACAACGGCATACAGAGTACAACCACAACAACCCACACCCCCACACCCATTTGACACAAGATTCACTCGCAACGATGCCAAACAAACGAGGCCCCAACTGGCTCCCACAAGACAATGAGCAACTTGCCAAAAGTTGGCTCAAGATCTTGGAGGACATTGTCCAATCAACTGGACAAAAAAAAGACAAATACTGGAAGCGAGTTGCTGAAGATTACAATAATTACACCACCGGTGTTGTAAGAGATGGAAGCCACTGCATGCACCAGTTAGTCCAATCTTCCTTTGATTCTCCATCATTTTCAGTGTCTGATTGGGGCCTTTCCATGTCTGTAGTTGGGGACACATCCAGAAAGCAACTTTGAAGTTTTCCGGTATCTATCATAAGCTCGAAAAAACTAGACCATCCGGTTCTGTCTTGACCGATCTCCTTCCAGATACCAAGAAGGCTTTTTACGAGCAAGAAGGCAAACAGTTTACCTTTGAGCAAGCTTGGATGGTCCTCAAGGAGCATCCAAAGTGGAACAACCTTTCACAATCTCGAGCTGTGCCAGACACCAATCCTCCAGACTCAACTCCGACTCCATCTACCCCGGCAACTCCAATTGCTTCCCAAACCAGCACAGCCGTCGTTGAAGGAAGATCTGAAAATTCCTGGACCCGACCCCCAGGTGTTCATACAACCAAACGAACAATGAAGGAAGATCATTATAACGCAAAGAAGATCAAAGTCATGTCGGACCGCTCAAGCGACTACCGCAATCAAACGCTTGCCATGAAGGAGACAAACAAAATCCGACAAATAGCCACTAAAGCTGAAGCTAACACAGCGAATATGGAGATTATGGCGAGGAAGACAGAAGACTTACCAGACGACATCTCGAAACAATTCTTAAAACTCCAAAAGGAATCTATTCTTCTCAACATGCAAGAACAACTCAAGCAGAGGCAAAAGTAAGCTGCCCAAAAGGAAAAGGAAAGCCAACAGCCGACATCGACTGCGAATCAACCTGAACAGTCAACATCTACTGCAAATCAACCTGAAAATTTCTCCTCGGCCCCTGAAAGCGAGCCTGGAACCTCTGACAGCTTACATGATTTATGTGATGAAGAGATTGACCCAATGCTTGATTCTCTCACTTAAATAACACTACACTCCATTGTTATCTATGATTTGTGTTTTCCCTCATCACAAGAAAAGTCAAGAAACTGTCCTGTGACTGCTTTCTATCTCACTTCTCACATCAAAAAAACATAAGAACAAGAATCATTGTTTAATTGCTCTTTCTATGGTTCTAAGTATGGAGACAAGGATTTCATTCCGGCCCCCTGTTTCTGGCCCCAAATCGCACCCAGTTGAGATCAATCAGATCGTTTGTAAGCCGTCGATGTTGTGCCCCTGATCTGAGCTCGATGGTCCGGATTTGCTGTTCGCTAAAGGTGTAAGGTGTGCTTCGGGGCAAAACCAGAGTGGTCGAGCTTGGCAGGTCAAAGATTTCAGTCAAATCTCGCTCTTGGTCCTCCACAATCATGTTGTGGAGGATCACACAAGTCTTCATGATCAAAGACATGTCATGAGGATTCCAGAGGCGAGAAGGCATGGTGATCAGAACCCAGCATGCTTGCAAAACCCCAAACGCTCGTTCAATGTCCTTTTGAAAGGCCTCTTGAAGTTTCTTGAAGTGTTGGGATGGAGGATCTTGCGAGACCGTTTTGGCTTTGATGAGGGTCGACCAATCTGGGTAAATCCCATCCGTCAGGTAATAAGCGTGGTTGTATTTTTGACCACAGATTTCAAACTTAGCATCCCAACCGGTCCCAGCAAGTTGGTCCTCAAAAATTGTTGATCACTGAATGACATTAATGTCATTCAGAGCCCCGCCGTCCCAAAAAAGGTGTGCCAGATCCACAATCGCTGATCGGCAACAGCTTCTAAAACAACCGTGGGTCTCTTCTCCTTTCCTTTATACTGACCAGCCAGTGCGCTCGGGAAGTTCTTCCATGCCCAGTGCATGCAGTCCAAGCTGCCGATGCAGCCTGGAAAGCCTCGTCAGTTATTGACATCAAGCATCCTTATCAAGTCATTCGCATTTGGTTTTCGTAGATATTCTTGACAGTACAGGCTGTCAATTGTCTTTCAGAAATTGATCAGGGTTTTGCGAGCAGTGGCTTCGCCTATCCTACAGTATTTGTCGGTGGCATCCATCGCGCATCCATAGGCAAGCTATCTCAGGGCGCAAGTAATCTTCTGAAAGCTGGATAGGCCCAACTTCCCTGTGGCATCCTGTCCAATAACCTATCAGCTGCCTGTTTGAGCTTAAACAGAAATCAAAAGAAACAAAACTTACTGGTCGTTGAACAAAATACGGCGAAGCATCGACCACCCTGGCAGCAATCCTCAGGAATAAATCCTTTCTGAGTCGGAAGCGCCTCTTGAAATCGCGATCGTTGTAAGTGGAACCATTGTTAAAGTAGTCCTGCATGAGTCTTGTATGTCCTTCGGCATGATTTCTTTCCTTGCTTGGGCGGCGTCGGACTTGTGGCTTTGGATCCTTGTCTTTGTCGGTGGTCAGTTCTTCAAAAGATGTGAATCCACTTCCCTCGTCATCTTCATCATCTGTGTCTGACCCAAACAGATCTTCAAGGAGGCGTCGCCGTTTTCTACCGATGCGGCTGCTCATGGTTCCACAAGCTAGCTAGTTTGGCTGGTCGGTTTAGCCGAGGACGGTGTTGCTGAATCGCTTGCGCTAGGTTAGCTTTGCAAAATTTGAAATTTGGCTGCGGGCCAAATTAGCCAAACCGATACGGATGCTCTGAGTCAAGTCAAAAATTTGGCTGGGACAGGAAGGCTTTTCAAGCCTTATACCACATAATAATTAAAAAAAAAGGGCCTTAATAAAAAAACACAGTTTTTCCGCGTTTACACGTGGTTTTGCTGTGGCACAGCACACGCGGTTTCCGCGTTTAAACACGGTTTCGTAATTAATTTTTATGGCTTATTTTTCTAGTTTTTTTGAATTTTTAAGATTTTTTCCTAGGTTTTAAAGCGCGTAGAATTTAATGGTAAAAACCATTTTGCATAAAAATTAATTTTAATTATTAATTATCTTTTTTCACTCATTTCTCAATTAATTGTTTGCAAACATGTTTGTACCTTATTTTTGGGCATTAATAAAAAAACGCGGTTTTTCCGCGTTTTGACGCGGTTTTGATGCGCCGCAGCACACGCGGTTTCCGCGTTTAGACGCGGTTTTATTAATTATGCATATTTTATGCATAAATTCGCCTCCAGGGGGCGCGCGCGGGTCCCACAAGCGCCTGCATGAACTTGGAAAATTTCCCGCCAGGCCAACCAAGAAAACCACTCACCACAATCAAAAAAGGACATCCCCCCCCCCCCCCCCCTCTAAACCTTCAACACACCACAACTCGGTCAAAACTCAACCAAAATCGACAAAAAAAATACCAGAATCATTCAATTTTTCTCCTCTTCGACGCCACGGACTCGGATTTTTTCGATTCACCACCGGTTCATTCCCAACTTGCAGGTACACTCTAAACTTCAAAAAATCACAACTTGGCCATTTCTCAACCAAAATTCACAAAAAAAATACCAAAAGCACCCAATTTTTATGCTCTTTACCGCCACAATCTTCAATTTTGCTGATACATCTTTTTTTCTTTTTAAATGCATTGTTAGGCCTCAAACTTCAACTCTGAATAACTCAGGCGTTTCTCAACCAAATTCTTCAAGAAAACCATCAATCATCTTCTCTCTTGATCCTCTTGACCGCCACTGTCTCCGTTTTTGCCGTTGGACCTCTTGTTGTTTTTAAAATCATCACTTCAACTCTAGTAGGTCTTAAACTTCAACTCTGAATAACTCAGCCATTTCTCAACCATTTTCTTCAATAAAAGCACTAATCATCTTCTCTCTTGATCTTCTTCACCACCACAATCTCCGTTTTTCCCGCTGGACCTCTCGTTGTTTTTAAAATCATCGCTGGAACGCTAGTAGGACTCAAACTTCAACTCTGAATAACTCAGGCGTTTCTCAACCAAATTCTTCAAGAAAACCATCAATCATCTTCTCTCTTGATCCTCTTGCCCGCCACCGTCTCTGTTTTTGCCGTTGGACCTCTAGTTTCTTTTAATTCATCACTTCAACTCTAGTAGGTCTTAAACTTCAACTCTGAATAACTCAGCCATTTCTCAACCATTTTCTTCAATAAAAGCACTAATCATCTTCTCTCTTGATTCTCTTCACCACCACCATCTCCGTTTTTCCCGCTGGACCTCTCGTCGTTTTTAATTCATTGCTGGAACACTAGTAGGACTCAAACTTCAACTCTGAATAACTCAGTCAATTCTCAACCAAATTCTTCAAGAAAACCATCAATCATCTTCTCTCTTGATCCTCTTGCCCGCCACCGTCTCCTTTTTTGCCGTTGGGTCTCTCGTTGTTTTTAAAATCATCACTTCAACTCTAGTAGGTCTTAAACTTCAACTCTGAATAACTCAGCCATTTCTCAACCATTTTCTTCAATAAAAGCACTAATCATCTTCTCTCTTGATCTTCTTCACCACCACAATCTCCGTTTTTTCCCGCTGGACCTCTCGTTGTTTTTAAAATCATCGCTGGAACGCTAGTAGGACTCAAACTTCAACTCTGAATAACTCAGTCAATTCTCAACCAAATTCTTCAAGAAAACCATCAATCATCTTCTCTCTTGATCCTCTTGCCCGCCACCGTCTCTGTTTTTACGTTGGACCTCTAGTTTTTTTTAATTCATCACTTCAACTCTAGTAGGTCTTAAACTTCAACTCTGAATAACTCATCTGTTCTCAACCATTTTCTTTAATCGAAACTCTCACTGTCTC